TCAGCGGTGCAGAGTCAACTGACGGGGCACCGCAGCACCCGTGAAACCATCTCTCTCTCCTTCTCAAGTTCCTTTTCTTCTTCTTTTTTTTTTGGTTTGGTTTCCCCTTTCCTCGCTTCAAATTTTCCCTTCCTTCAAAAGCACTCTGTGTAGCACAAGGCATCAGTGGCACCAGTCTATACAGTTAGCATGCCACACAATAGCAAAAGCATTACAGATATCAAATCCCAACCCAGGGCAGAGTACTACCCTTCATCCTACCCCGGAGTTAGGACGATGGGAAATTTTATTAGCGACCTGCCTACAAAAATATCATTGCAATGATTGACACAGTTACCAGACCGAAAAATCTGCAGTTTGCGGAGGAAGTCAATGCCTTTGAACTGTTTGCTGAGATTTCAGAGTCGGTCTGTTTTTGCTGTGTTTTCCGAGCTTGTGCCTGCTGATGACGTTTGTGTGTTGTAGTGCGTGCTTGTCTGAGTCAAAGTCTGTGTCCCTGAGCTAAGACTCTGGTCTGCGCTGTGTTTCAGTTTCGGACAGAGGTAGGCTAGCAGATAGATGTAGTTAGTTACAGGGACAGAACTAAAATTTGGCTTTAGAAGGACTTAGTGGGAGGCCCGGGGTGGAAGTAGAATTTGCTAGGCATCCAGTAAGGATTTTCCAGCAAGTCCGAGGCGACCTGGAGTTTGGTAGGGTGGCAAGTAGGTAATGATCGTGCCAGGATGGCATATGTTCATGTTTAGGTTTACATAAAGGGTCTGTAGGTAAGATTAGAAGTTAGAACCAGTAGGGCACACATTGGGGCTCAGAACACCCTCGAGTGTATATCCTTTGGTGCAATGAGCGGGCCACGTCATCAGGTCACGTTCAGGTCGGGATACAGAGTCTGTAGTTTAGATTACAACCAGTAGGGCACAGATAAGAGGCTCCGAACGCCATCATATACACCATTTGGTGCAATGGGTGGTCCACGTGCTGCAGCTGCGCTGAGAGGGAGGGTGAAGGCAGAGCTCCTGGATGAGCAAGGAGTTGAGGGTGATAGCCATGGAAGAGAGGACGGTGAGTTGGCAAACTTATGGAGGGAGTAGTATTAGATGCCCTCGCTGGGCCATGAAGAGAGGAAGAAGACAATAGAAGGTGAGAAGAGGGAGATGAATGAGGGAACCATGAGGAGTTACCTTTGCATACAGTAGACCTTCATCTTCACTTACCTGGATAGCACTGCATCATGAAGGCCCCTGTTGGGGTACCAGCTGGACTTGGGCTGCATCCGTGAGGCAGGCATGGCGGTAGGAGAAGGGAGAGGCACAGTAGTAGCTGCATTGACCTCTGCTCATCGACAGATGAAGAGGACACCGGTCATCGCTTCAAGTGCTCCTCGGAGGGGAGAGAACAGGAAGAGAGGGCCAAGGCAGAGTTCTTTCAACAGTGGTAGTAAAGGGGATCTTTCGGACATTAATTCGTGTTCATTCATTGATATCATATTTCATAATAAAACAGTACTAGTAGGGAGGTGGAGAGAAGAGGGGAGGGGAGATCTTATGTGTTCTTCTTCTTTTTTTCATTCTCTTTCTCTTCTTTATTCATTCCATTTCCCTCTTGAATTGCAATGAACGCCGTACTCTCAAAGTCGAGGTTTGCATCAAGAATTGGCCAGTGTAATGAACCCATCTTCAGAAGCTCACGATAAAATCTCACATGACCTCACCAGGCTCAACTCAATGACAGCAGACAAATTGAGACAGCAATGCATGACAAGATTGTGTGAAGATGAGGTCAACTCAATGACAGCAGACAAATTGAGACAGGAATGCATGACAAGACTGTGTGAAGACGAGGAGCAAAAGCAAAGAGTGTTTGAATCGCTTCTCCCTCTTCGTCCGCGGGATTGCTTCTCGCCATCCCAACGTATCTACTGGCTTCGATCTCCCCACTCTTTCACCACCAGTCTAACGAGAAAGTAAATACAACCATCAGAAAAGCTCAACAGATATTACTTAGAATATCCATTCACTTAACTCCTAGACACAATGTCACCGGCAAGGTCAATTGCTCTACTGAGCTGGCCTATGCCAAGCTGGCGCAACAATGCTGGATCTTGGGAGGACAATGTCTATCCTCTGGAGCAGCATGAAATTTCCTTCTTCAATCACGATGCCAGTGCCACCCAGAAGGCATAGTGACATTGCATCTCATCCCTTGACCTCGCTAACACCAGTGCTTCACTCACTCTCCACACATAGCAAAGCAGCAACAGAATGGACTTCACGACATCTTGGAAGATGAACAGCGGCCTCCCTCCTTTGGGAGTCTTCTCCTTCAGGCAGCTATGGCCACCAGCCAACAAGTAAGCTTCGTCCTCCTACAACTTGCCAATCCCTCTTCAATAGTTACCTCCTCTTTCCAGCCTGCACCGCAGACCCTCCTCTGTATGGTGCCCGACAAGCTCTACTCCGCACCACCACCTCTCAGCCTGGGATGAAGAGTGACGAGCACATGCAACCACTGGGCTCCTCTGCCGCAGCTGAGGCGGAACACCCCAGGTAAGCACTCTCCAGGTAAACTTCCTCTTCCCCCAAGCACTGGACTCCACCTCTCAGTCGGGGATGAAGAATGACGAGCACATGCAACAGCTGATCTCCTCTCCCGCAGATATGGCTGAACACGGCAGGTAAGCTTCCTCTTCTCCCAAGTCTTGGACTACCTCATATCTCCCCTCTTCACTCACTTTCATCAACGGTGCATCAGCACCTGCTACCGGATACGAATACCGAGATCTCTCACTCACACTACCTATGGCAGCCCCTCTCTCCTACTGCCATTTTTATAGTGCTGACTCGACCTGGCCTGCCTCCTCGGATGGCCGAGTTTGGTGTTTGTGGAGTCTTGGAGATGTGACTGTTTTGGCCAGCCCTGAACAATCCTCAAAATCCTGAAAACTGAGAAGAGCCACAACACACTTCTGCCTTGGGGTATAAGGCCCTTTCGATCCATTTTTTTACTCTTTTTCTTTTTTTTTGCTGTTGGTTTATTTGGTGGCCACTCTATGGACTGGTGACAAGTCTGGCTTACAACTTAAAAAGTGTGGGACATTTGTTATAATGTCCATGAAAAAACCCTGAAAATTTAGGGCTCTGTTTTAACAGCTTCTCCCAGGAATTTGTTGCAGCCAGTGTACGCCTGGACCCAATGAGCCCTGAAAGCTTCCAGAAACCGACCTCCGCCTTTAGATTGCGTGTGATATGGGGCCGTGGTTGACTTCTGAGAGCTCTTTGAGCTCTGGAGCCGGAGTGGACCTGACTGCCGATTTTCTGACCTTCTTCCCCCGAATACAACATACGGTCATGATAGCTGTATTTAGACTGAAAGATACGCCAAATACAGCTATAATAATCGTACGATGCATTCAGGGGACGAAGATAGGGTAGGGCCTACTTTGACTTGTAGAGGCCCTCGGCACCTATATTTGACACTTGACCCCAGGCCTACAACCTGAGAACACCTAGAGACTTTTCAGAGACTGTAGGTCCAACGTTCAACAATGAATTTTAAATTCGTCAAAAACTACGACCGTCAGGCTTTTTACAATGCAGGTGCTACCCCATTTTATGACTCTGTACTAGTCTGTGGGGGGTTTCATGAGAGACTGCTTTCCAGATGTCTTCTACTAAGCCAAGGACTGGACCATGTGCTACCGGACCAAGGGTCATCATTTTTTACGACTCTGGGACCGACCCTACAGAGTTCATATGCATGCTTCGGTGTCGACTCAAGACTTCATATGCATGTTTTCGAGCTCGATTTTGAACCCGGGTCCTTGCAGCCAGCATCATAACATCGTCATGATACATACCTGGTTCATCTCTGCCACCAATTGATTCAGGACCTTCAGACCAATATAGAAATGTTCGACTGTACCCTGCAGACAGTGTCGACAGTAACAACACATCCAATCACGGACCCTCTCCCCCCCCCCCCTCACAACACACACACATACACACGAGGCACCAGATTCAACTGATCAGACCGGTTACACATAAGATTTCACTTGTCCGACGAAGCCCTATACCACTGCCAGCTCAAGAAGGCTTCCATCCACAGCCAAAAGGTCAGTTCACACCCAGCTCATGTGGCTGAATGTACACACACCACTAACCGTTGATAAACCCACGAGTTCATTTTCTGCTGGCATCAGATGGGTTTGTTAATATGAGGGGCAAACCACTTAAGAAACAGAAAAAGCAACGAAGAAGTTGGTGGCAAGCAAGACTGCCGGCTTAAACCACCAGTACAAGGCCCCAGCCAAGTTAAGAATCATGATTGAGCATCTCCCATGAGTTCATTTTCAGCTGGCATCTGATGGGCACAATAATATATCAGGGCAAATCTTTGAAGAAACCGAAAAAGAAACGAAGAAGTTGACGGCAAGCAAGAGTGACGCCTTAAACCACCAGTACATGGCCCCATCCAACTTCAGAATTGCGATTGAGCCTCTCCAAAAAAATCGGAGGGTCAGTGCAACTGGATCGAAATGGCTGGCGGCGCCAGCAAAAACTAAAACAAAAACGCCGGGCTGGCCACTTAGACTCAGGCCGCCATGCCGGACTCTGCCTCGAAGCTTCTTGATGCAGCTCTACCGCAACAGGGGCCTTCCAGATGCAGCACCCACCAAGGTGATAGAGATGGTGTCCACCATAGCCAGGTAAGTACCCCTGGCGCTCCCCTCTCCTAGTCCCTTCTTCCTCCTCCTCCTGCCCGAGCTCCTCCACCATAGCCAAGGTGGAGAGCTGGGCGATCCTTTCCCGCAGCGCAGTACACCAGCACTGCTCCACCATGCGATCAAGCAGTGTGTCGCCCAAACTTGCACGCAGCAAATGAGGAAGTGCTCCTGACTCTTCCTGGAGATATAGTGAGGCAGTAGCCTCCTTGGGCGATGACTTCCAGGCCGTGCGGCCTCCAAGCTACCGGTACCTCCTCCCTTTCGGAGGGAAACATCATCATTGCAGGCTCTGATATCGTCAGCACAGGCCCTAGACTACAGGCTACTTCGACTGGTACCCCCCTAGCCCTAGCCTACCGCTACGGGGCCTCTAAAAACGCCAACCTTGGTCTTCTTCTGCTCCGCCTCCAGTCCCCGACACATCTACCGCTACTTTGGATAGGACCGGCCTACCTGCTCCTTGAGTGTTTTTCCCCGCTGCTCTCAGTGTCACGGGCCTACTCCCGCTACTTGAGTGTTTTCCCCGCTGCAACCCTCAAAGTCACATCCGCAGGTAAGTACTGCCCCTGCAGGGCCTCCCAAACAAACAAGTACCCTTGCGGGTCACGCACATACTCAATCCGACAAGCACTCAGACAGTCACGCAGACCAGCAAGCGCGCGCACACACAGACTTAGAAAACTCAGCAGAAAGCGGGAACCTCAGCAAGGCATTCATTCTAGCCGTGAAACTCAGAAATCAGCTGTGTTCTCAGTCCATGTTTGCGCAGGTCCTTACTCTTCTCTCTCTCTCTCTCTCTCTCTCTCTCTCTCTCTCTCTCTCTCTCTCTCTCTCTTTTGCCACTCTTCCTTCTTATGATTAACTTTGGTTTCCTCCACATGTACATACAATTTTTCCAATCTCGCCACTCTTCCTTCATATGAATGACATCCTTCCCGTTTACGTTTTGATTCATGTCAAGCCCAATGCAATGTAGACCAAGTCTTGAAGCACGCCGACCAGCTATCAAAGCAGCTTTTCCACACACGTTTTCACTTCCCAAAGCAAATGTCAAGGCCAAAGCAACGTACACCAAGTCTTGGAGCACACTGAAACGGCGCAGCAAATGTCAATGAAAGAGAATGAAATGGACCACAAAAAACAACTCCCAATAATAAACAATAACAAGACTCCCAATGTCCTACAGTCTCCGTCCACTTCTCTTCCCGAGACTTATCCTTCAAATTGCCACCCGACATCAATCCCAGCAATGGCCGACTCTCCTCTCCAACAAGGAATCTTCTCTCTAGCCTCCCCAACCTAATCACTGTAATCTCTCCCCACTCGCCAGAGCTCGAACTGGTCCCCCTTGTGGTACTGGAGAGCCAACAAAATCAAGCCTCTATCAAAGGATGGTCCAAGCCCTCTTCTTTGAGATCCAGTGCCAAAAGAATCAAGCCTCGATCAGAGAGTAGCACCCTCAGGCCTCTTATTTTTCCAAGTTCCTGTCTCCAGTCCTCCTCCCTCGGCCTGCTTCCTCCTATTGTACTTTCGGCTATGGCAGTGACCTACCACACGCAGTTATGGCTTCCTGACCTCCACATACTCCCCGTTTCCACTCTGGCGGTAGCAGGGCAGCATGCCCCACTACTCCAGCGCTCGAGCCAAGCGCAAGGCAGAAAACTGTCAATGGACATTATAGTGCTTTACCGGCACCGGCCCGCAGCTGGTGGCTGGGTAGGCACTGCGTCCTGTAGGCAGATGCATTGCCTGGACCATCCGGAAATGTTGCTGCCCCAGCCCCACTACTCCAGCGCTCGAGCCAAGCACAAGGCAGAATGGACATTATAGCGCTTTACTGGCACCAAGCCGCAGCTGGTGGCTGGGTAGGCGCTGCGTCCTGTAGGCAGAAGCGTTGCCTCCACCATTCAGAAATGTTGTCTGGAGCGTTCCGGAGAACCCTTCACTGTGTCAGAATGGGCTTGACCCTTGGGGTACCGAGTACAAGCCTGGCTTGCCCAGACTACCAGCCACTTCTCAGACCCTTCCCTAGGCGTCCAGGTACTTAAGACCAACCCTACCACTTAAGACCGACCCTGCCACTTAAACTGACCCAGCACCTGTGAGATATCTTGTTCTGTCCCTATTTTCCCACAATTTTAGGGGCTTCTCTCCTCCAGAAGAAGGAACTTGCCCCACATTTTCACACATCCTTGTCAGGAAACACACCCCATGCCGTCATTCCTGGTACATTGCCATCCGTCCTCTCACAAAGCCAGGAGAGGAGGGGAGCACAGCACACTCTAACCGTTCTTTCCTTCCTTCTCTGTCCTCATCCTTCGTTTCTTCATCCTTTTGGCTTTTGTCCAAGTTTCCCTTTTCTTCCTTTCACCTCTTTTTTTCCCATGACATTTTTTTTATTGTGCCCTTCAGGTTCCTTACAATACCTCCCCCCCCCCCCCCCCCCCCCCCCCCCCCCCCCCCTCCCTCCCGCCCGCCGCTGCCTCCCCCTCCCCATTCCCGACCATGGTTTCTTCCACCTGTGCCGAGAACTGACCAGTGTTTTTTCTTCTCACCTGTGCCAAAAACTTGGTGCATTCCCGCACAATATCCCGATGGCTCTCATGATCGTGCCATCCCAATTTCGTGAGTCGTGAGAGCAGTTGAATCAACGAAGTTGTGACAAATGGTAAGAGCTTCGGCCCACTGCTGGCAAGGTAGTTGAGCACATAGTTCCCTGGGAACCAATATAAAGTCATACGAGAGAGACAAAAAAACACATTCATACAAGAGAACACAAAACAACCTGAGATCTATGGCAATCTGTGACGTCATACAGGCGATTAGCAATGCACTCAGGAAAAGGAAAGCCTCATTGAAGACGTATCGCGGGATGATATCCTGTGCAACGTCCTGTATTTGACTGAGCCAAGTATTGACAAAACAGCAGAGAGAGAGAGAGAGAGAGAGAGACAGAGAGAGAGTAAACCTATATTCTCTGTAATGCTTTTTCAACCTTCTTTTTTTTTTTTTTTTTTTTAAGATCAATCTCTAAGAGTCGTTGTCATCAACCAATACAGGTGAATGGCTTTAGCAGATCATACACGACGTCACTCTCCCTTTGAGGTCCAAGTACTTCCCTCTCTAGCGCATTATGACACGACAATGGCCACCCTGGACGGTTTTTTCAACTTTTTTGCCTTTTCCGTGTTTTCTTTCCGTTTTATTTTTTTAAATATTTTTTAACTCTTTTTCCGTGTTTTTTCACTTTTTTACTCTTATGTTACAAGGTTGCCCTCGTTCATGTACTCGAGCAGCAAGCGCCTACAACGCCAGTCTGCTAAAGAAAAAACATCTATTTACATCAACGCATAGAGAGCTAGACGTCAGTGTAAAGACATGCACGCACGTCCACGCCTGCCCAGTCAACCTACTAAGTCCACCTGCCTGCCCACCCACTTCAGACCAGACCATCTGCCTTTTTATCTATCTAAATACCATAAATCATATGGATAGATACACAGATCAAATGGATAAATAGATAGATTAGATAGATATATAGATAGAATAGCATAAATCACATGGATGGATGGATGGATGGATAGATAGATAAATAGACAGTACATTAGATAAATACTGGATAGGTAGATTAGATAGATACGTAGATAAGAGTAGATAGACTAGATAGATTAGATAGATCAGATAGAGAGAGAGAGAGAGAGATTCGTTAGTTCGGATAGGTGGATTAGATAGTCTAGATTACATTCGATAGATTAGATGGACATTATATAGCTAGATTGGTGAGTTCTATAAAATGGATCACACAGATCTAGGTTACATAGACAAACCACATAGAGAGACTACATAAATAGATCGCACAGAGATACAGATCTGAGAGAGAGGTTCAGACTAAAGAAATAGAATATGACAGATTACATCGGATTAGACAGATAGTAGAAAGATTGCTTAGATAGTTTAAATAGATATATAGATGGGCGGTATATATTATTAAATAAATTACACAAATCAGATAGACCAGATAGATTACATATATCAGACAGACTTGACATATTTAGATACACTGGGTAGCTTAGATAGATCATAGATGAACTGGATAGATAGATAAATGTAGACAAACTTTCGTAGATATAGATCAGACTAGATAGATATAGAGGAAGGAGAGATGGAAACCGATCTGACTGTCCTCACATAGATCAGATAGACTAGATAGATTTAGAATTTTAGATAGACTAGACAGATTAGATGAGATAAAGTGGATAGATAGATTAGATAGAAAAATGTAGAAAATATGTACCATAGATAGATATACAGGAAGGATAGATGGAAACCGATCTGACTGTCCTCACTACAACCCTCCAATATTATATTTCTTTTTTTTAACAAAACGACTTGCTTCATATTGCATAATATTATATTTCCAACAACAATATATTTCCAGCTTGACCTTAGACGGAGAGCCTTGACGATGCAGACCATACACATATCCCGCTGGAAATTTACACACCGGTGGGCAGAGAGAGAGAGAGAGAGAGAGAGAGAGAGAGAGAGAGACGCACATGCGGAGCTGGTGAAGGATCACCACAGACGGGAAAGGAGAAGGAACACGAGAGTATGTAGACTAAACTGATAGACAAAAAGGGAGAACGGGATCGGAGAAAGCATGCAACAATTACTTACTGAATAAGAAGAAAAAAAAGAGAGAAAAACGGAAAGTGGATGATCCCACTTGACGTTGCGAGAGAATGCGTTTGCCGTAAAATCGTGCGATTTGAGAGAGAGCGGAGAGAAGAGAGAGAGGGAGAGATGCAGAGAAAGAAAGCACGGGGGACAGAGGAAAGGGGAGCACGAGAAGACGGAGAGGATAGGGAGGGGGAACGAGGAAGACAGACGAAGACAGACGAAGAGAGAGGAAGAGAGGAAGAGAGGAAGAGAGGAAGAGAGAGCAAAAGAGAAAGAGAGGAAGACACAGGGGAAAAGAGGAAGAGAGAGGAAGAGGGGAGAGGAGGAGGAAAGGAACACAGAAAGTAGAGAGAGGGAGAGAGGAAGAGAAAGGAAGACAGAGGAAGAGAAAGGAAGACAGAGGAAGAGAAAGGAAGACAGAGGAAGAGAAAGGAAGACAGAGGAAGAGAGAAAGGGAGAGCAAGAGGGAGGGTTAGAGAGGAAAGAGGAACAGAGGAAGAGATGAAAGACGAAGAGAGAGGAGGAGAGGAGAGGAGGAGAGAGAAGACATAGGGAGAGAGCTGAGGACAGGAAGAGATCGGAAGAGAGGAAGAGACGGAAGCAGAGAGGAAGAGAGAGAAAGCAGAGAGAGGAAGAGAGGAAGAAATGAAGAAGCAGCAAAGAGAGGAAGCAAAGAGAGAGAGAGGAAGTAAAGAGAAAGAGAGGAAGCAGAGAGAGGAAGAGAGAGAAAGAGAGAGAGAAAGAGAGAGAGAAAGAGAGGAAGCAGAGAGAGAAAGGGAAAGGGAAAGGAAGACAGTACAGGCGAAGACGACATGGAGGGGCAAAAGCGAAGGGTGGACGAGGCTATAGTTCACAAAAATGTTATGGGAGAGATAAAATAGGGTACGCAAACAGGGAGAGAGTGAGGGAGACGGGGGAGTAGGCTGCAAACAGGGAAAGAACAAAATAGCAAATGAAAAGTAACCGGGAAAGAGGAGGCAAGCGGGGGAGAGGAAAGCAAAGAAACGAAGAGAAAAAGGAAAAGAGGGAGTTAAGAAACAGAAGTAGAGATGGAGAGAGAGGCAAAGCACAAGGGTACAACAAAAGATAGAGAGCAAGGAGAGCGAGGGGGAGAGAGCGGGGGGGGGAGGGGAGGGGAGAGGGGGGGGCCACAAGGATAAAAGGACAGCGCGAGAGCGAAGAAGAGAGGAGCTCGGGAGAAAAAGAAGAGGCGGACAGGACATGCACAATGGCAAGAGCGGACAAACAGGGTACCAGGGGAAAGAGAGAAAACAAGCAAAGAGGAAGAGAAGGGAAACGAAAGAGAGACAAAACACGCAAAGAGGGAGAGACGGGAAGCAAAAGAGAGACAAAGTTGCAGAGAGGAGAGGCAGAGGCAGAAAGGGAGCGGGCAGAGGGGGAAAGAGGAACAAGCAAGGAGGGAGAAAAGAGGGGAAAAGAGGCGGCAGGGTAGAAGGGGAAAGAGAGAGAAAACGAGTAAAGAGGAAGAGAAGGGAAACGAAAGAGAGACTAAACACGCAAAGAGGGAGAGAAGGGAAGCAAAAGAGAGAAAGTTGCAGAGAGGAGAGGCAGAGGCAGAAAGGGAGCGGGCAGCGGGGAAAAGAGGAACAAGCAAGGAGGGAGAAAAGAGGGGAAAGGACGGCGGGGAAACGACCGGAGAGCCGGAAGGACGAGACAGAAGGGTTAAAGAAAAGATCGAGAAAAGGAACAGAGAGAGGGAGAGAGGGAGGGAGAGAGGGAGGCAGGGAGGGAGGGAGGGAGGGAGAGGGAGAACATATGTATAGTAGAGGGGGGGGAATCGGGAGAGATGGGAAAGAGGAGGGAAAGAGGGGAGTACAGACGGCAAATAAGCGTGAAAGCAGTTGGACGGAGGGAGACAAGGCGATATAGACCGATTCCAGATTAGGAAAGGTCGGACTAGGCAAATGAGAGAGGGCAAAGATTGAAGGAACGAGAGGACACTAGAGGGCAAGAGAGTGAGAAAAGGGGGACACACATTATGGTGGATGTTGACGGGACGCAGATTACAAAAACGGCAGGGAGGCGACAGCGACAACAGTCAGAAGAAAAGCCAGGCCGGGAGAACGGTCAGCACAGATGACTGGGCAGGTGTCATCACCCAAATCGCCCCCAGCATGTATTGAATATTTGGTGTGATCACAACGACTCGGATCCTCAGAGGCCATATGCTCCCACACCTAGATTCCACTATCTATATTTATGTTATATATATATTTATACATATATATAAATAAATATTGTCACAAAATATCAGAGCGCAAATGCGAAAAAAAGAAAGAAAAAAAAAGGGAAAAAAAAAGGAAGCAAAACAGGAAAAAATGAATTCAGTTTTTTATCTTCTTCCTTATAACTCCCCCTGTTCAGAACATATTGCCAAACAGAGCTTCCCGGTAAGCCGTAGGCAGAGAGGTATATATAACTCCGACGAAACAGTTTGTCGCAAAAGCGAAAAAAGAATTCGTTTATTTTTTTAAATATAAATCGTCATATATACAGTTTTGCATATACACAGTTGGTGACCACCTCAAGGTATCAGTTGTTGGGCAGTCGTTGATGCTTAACCACAACCAGGGTTAAGGTGTATTATCACTTACAGTGTAATCAGTCAGTTAGGGGATTCTGCAGACTGTTGAGGGTTCAGCAGCCTCCTGATGAGTAGACAGGTGAAACTCCAACGACACAGTTTGTCACAGCCCCTCCCTCGTTTGTTGTCCGCTTCTCCCTCCCTCTTCTCTTCTACGATCTATGCTCTGGATCCCGCTGCTATGATAAAAATATGGTATTATTAGGACCACATAGTATATTATAGCCGCAATGGCCAAAAGGTAGAAAAAAAACAAAGTCAAAACTTGACAAACAGCTTCCTGCCGCGCCGAGCCCACAAACGGTTTTTTTTTTTACGTAATAATTTATTACTAACAAATCTTGACGTAACACGTTTTTTTCACAATGAAATCGCGGAAGTCTAATTTCCATGTTTGAGATCTGCCCCTGACATTGCCGCCGACTGCTTTG